AAAAAAATTTGACATTTATTTTTGACATTTTGTTATGTCTATTTAATGGTACTGATGATCTTGTATATGTTTTTTTTACAATTATTTAATAAAGGTACAAAAATTTTGCCAATAGAAGCCACAGTTGTAAACAGAGTTACAATTAAGGATACAGCTTACTTGTTTCCTCTTCTAATAGCCTGTAGCAAAAAAACTTGGAAAATTATTTCTGTAACAGAAATAAATAGAGTCAAAGTGCAAACTTTAAACTCTCATAACTTCGAAATTTTTTTAACATTTTTTTCATGTTTCTGGTATCTTCCCTTATATGTCATTTTTCTCTGGGGCGCAAGTTTTGGCGCAGCCTGTATGTAATCTATCAGAGAAAAAAATATACCTCTCTCATATAAACGGAAAAATATGCGGTTAGATTTAATGGCAAAATTGAGATATCAAGAGAAATTGTTAGTTTTGAAGTTTTTCTCGCCAGATCGTAGAAAAATTATATGTATTACTCTGAGGAAAGTGTCTTTTTCGTCTTATGGTGGTAACTTCTACCTGTGGAAGGAAAAGATATATATTTTTTCTTTTTTGTAATGCAAATAACTATTATTTTCTATTTTTTTGAAACATGAAAAAGTAGAATTGATATCTTAGCCCGGCGCATCCACCAAAATTTAGCCGGTTTATAGTCATTGAGTCTCTGATACATCAAATCTGAAAATAAATGAATTTCTGGTGTTTATAGTTAAAACTTGTACTGCTGCGAAACTAATTCCAGTGACGTACTTAAAAGTTTTATCGTTGTAACATTTTTTTAACTACGACATTAAGGTTGTAGTCACGTCTTACAATTTATTTTAGCTTCTGTAAATTGCATAGAAGCAACAATTTCAGGAAGAAAGCTCTGAAACTTTATCGATTTTAGATAAGTTGCGGAAAATGGAAGTCAAATCTCGGTACGTGATACGTGATCCAATTTAAATAACAGCTTATTACTGCTGTAATTGAAATTTCATTAAATAACGTATACACATATTTATTTAGGTCAATTATTTGGTTGAGAAAGCAAACCAAGTTTAATCCAAATTTTAAATTAGTATTCGTGCATTATGTTGCTTCATTTTTTCCGGGCATAAATTTTGAAACATGTTTCAAAGATAAATGGTCACATTTTAATTGTACTTTAGGCTACACTAATTATTACTTTCCTCATCCTATAAGGAGAGTATTGTAATCGGCTGAAATTTGACCTACCCAGATTTTTACATTTCTGGACGAATTATAGCTTTAAGACACCAAGCTTCAAGCACGAAACAATTGGTAAAAATCGGTTGCACCGTTCGGCCGCAAAGACCAAAAGTGGCCGTAAAGAAGATACAATAAATTCATGCTGATACAAATTATTTAGAATCATGAAATATACTTTATTAAACAGTAAAAAAACGGCGATAACTACGATCTATTTCGCGTGTAATCCGCCAGGTGGCACTAACGCAAGTTAGGTTTGCTAGTCGGATTTCCAACACTAAATTATTGTTGTTTTTCAAATAAGGATAAGGATAAGGATAAGGATAAGGATAAGGAAAGTCGTGTGATGTTCACACCATTTTTTTTTTGGTAAAATGGTTAGTTTACGAAAAAGACGCGGGCGCCAGAGTTAAGGGGGGGACCAGACTGGTAACAAAATTTAATTAAAAAAAACATTTTGAATTTTGCAGTGAACAAAAAAAAACTGCAAGAGAAATACAACCAAACAAAAAAAACAAAACGTTATGTGAAAAAACTAGTCATGTGGCCGTTTCCTGTTATAGAGATTAGAGTTCGAACACTGTAAGATGTACCGTGAGCCATTCAAACGGCTTGTTGGATTTAAATGACTCAAGATGTTCGAATTCTAATAAAGGTATTGCGCCGCCAAGTTCACTGAATCTGGTCTTCTGAATAAAACAAATTTTATATATTTAGTTTTCTAGAACTTTTGGGTTAAAAAAATACACATACTAGATCGCATCCAATTTCCTATTTCTTTTCATTAGTTTGCTTTCGTACTTAGTGGATTTGTGCTTAGTGGTAGTCAAAAATTTGTTTTCAAATTAGTGATTTTTGTGGAAGTATTACAATTAAACAATTATCTTGGTACCATTTTTTAAAATTTTTAATCCTATTTAAATCACACGTTTAGGTAAAAGCTTCGTAAACGTAATGATTGAAGCAAACAAAATTACTGACGAACTTAATGTAGAACCAAATTTTCCGCTGATGCAAACTGTACGCCCAAAAGGCAAGCCAAAAGTCTTTGATTACGAACATCAAGACGAAGTTGTGCTAGATGCAAAAAATAGTTTCAAAACTAACTTTTCTACAGGATTTTGAATCAAGTTTTGTCTTCTTTAAATAATAGATTTGAAAAACTAAATACTAAAAATAAATAATGATACATTTGGATCTATTGACAATATGTTTAATTCTTCGGAAGAAGAATTATTAAAAAAATTCAAAGACTTTTAAAGCTTTAAAAATACATTTCATCGAACAAACTATGCAAGAACCTTAAAACATTTTACAATGTCTTTTTGAAAATTTAATTTCTACTTTTCCTAATACAGCAATTATACATTAAAATTTTTACTTTCCTTGACAGTTTCAGTTTTATCTGGCGAAAGAGCTTTGCTAAATTAAAAATTATTTAAGATTCACCATGGTTCAGTCTAGTTTACGCAACTTATCTATTATTTGCAATTGAACAAGAGCTGTTAGATAATTTAGAAAAAAAGGATCTGGTTACAGAGTTTGCAAGTATGAAAGTGAGGAAAATACAATTTCTTTAAGGATTTATAGTTTCTATGATGTTATGTTTTATTTTCTTATTTGCGTTTTTATAATCACAAGTTTAATTAATTTTGATTAAATATTTTTTTTGTTATTTAGTTTTATTTATTAGCACTTATATATTTTTAGGTATCATACCTATGTAATAAAATAAATGTACCCATATTTTCTTAACAAATTAACAAATGTGCACGCGGGCGTCAAAACCTCTAGCGGCGGCCCTGGTGTAACTTTATGTGAGGAACGCTCGAAATTTGCATTACCATTGTTATCTGTATTTTTGGCACTTGCAGGAATCCTTCCGGATGAGTAATGCATAAAGTATGACGTTTATTTTCTTTTCAGATCAGAATGAGCCAGCGCAAGGGAGTTGACGACAGTGGCGGATGAGGACGCGTCAGCACGGCTAGCACCGCGACCCCCAG